TTGGCTATTTTTGTATTTAAACTAGCACAATATTGGTATAGTCTGAATATTTTCATTAGTACACACAACCAAACTTATATGGAATCACTCTTTATTTCTGACTAAATTTCTTGCAAGGATAAAAATTGATATACAACTTTAAGATAAGGCTTTTTGTGGTAAATAAACATGATAATAAAGAATAAACGACTGCTGGCGATTTATTTTCTTTTGAATTTTGTGTTCAGTAGTAAAATCACGATTGTCCGGTAATTTTCATTCAATGCAAAAAAATTAAAAAATGCCTTATGTTGGATTAACAGATGTACAGAGGGGAAGAATTATTCCTCTCACCGAACAAGAAATTCTCCAGAAAGACGTAGCAGAGATAGTAGGCGTTACCCAGGGCGTTGTATCGAAAACACATGGCAGATACTTAGAATTAGGTATACACAAGGATAGGCCTAGACAAAGTCGTCAAAGAGTCACAACTGAACAACAAGACCGCCTTGTATGCTAAATTGCTAGAATAAATCCCAATGTTTCTCGTCCAGAGCTACAAAGACAACTTCTGGCAGCTACAAGTGTGAACGTTTCAGTTAAAACCATAAGAAAAAGGCTTCGTGCACGAGGGTTTTACAGTAGGAGAGAGTTACGGATCCCACAGTTATCTCGGCAAAATAAAATTGGCCGGCTAAATTGACGCCTTCAACATCAAAATTGGATAACTGAGAATATATTGGCAAAATGTTCTTTTTTTCGGATGAGACCAGAATTGGCCTAAGATCAGATAACCATCGAATTCCGGTTCTCAGAGCTCCAGGAAGACGAGCCAGACTTCAGGCTGCCAAATCTGTACCAAGATATAAAGGAGGAACTGTAATGTTCTGGGGAGGTATTATAATGGGAGCAAAAACTCTACTGTTACCTCTTCGACAAATTTTAACGGGTCAGAGATATGTTGATTTGGTGCTAGAACCAATCGTTAGTCTTTGGAGAGCTGCAATTGGGAATAAGTTTAACTTCATGCACGATAGAGGACCTCCCCATACCAGCAGAGTGACTAGAGAATGTCTTGAAATGGAAGGTAACTGGCCTGCCTATTTACCAGATCTAAACCCTATCGAACACTTGTGGGACTAGCTCAAAAGAAGGCTTAGAGCTCGTCGAAACAATCCAGGAAATCTGGTAGAGCTTATTGATGCAGCATTAGCAGAATGGGAAAACATATCCCAAGACAACGTGGATAATTTAATAAGAAGCATGCCAGTGCGGATAGAAACTTGCATAAGGGCTAGAGGTGGCAACAAGGAATATTAACATTATCAGTTTTCTTTTTGTTTATGCTTTTTGGCCATTAAAAATTTAAATCTTAATTTCGTTTCAGGAACCAAAAAAATACAATTTTGTTTATTTTTGGAACTGATTAATTTTTTTTATTGCTATATGGATTATTTTTCATTAAAAGTCATTGGTAAGGACTGAGTTTTATTCATAAACACAAAATTTTCATACATCTCAAAAATTATGAAAAATAATAGATGATTCCATATAAGTTTGGTTGTGTGTAAATCAAATCAAATCAATAAACTAAATTAAGCAGAACGTAATTAAAATAAACACGATTAATTTCTGCAGCGAAATATTTATAAACTAAACTAAAATTATTATAAATTGGAGTACGAAGCTGAATCACAATTAATAGGTTGATATTGGCCATTAGTTTTAATAGTCTGATCATATTTGGTACAAAAATGAAAAGATCTCAAATAAGCTAACGTTATATTGAGCTTTATCGAAACAATCGGTCACCCTGTATATCGAATACATTTATTTTTATCCATACACCATAAACTAATAACAAGAGCCCAAACGTACTTAACCAACCGCCATTCAATTCAAGTGACATTTCCAGCTGATTTTTTTCATACTTTCCCAGGGCCGTTCAAGGCCAACTTTAATGCACTTCCAATGACCTTTTTCGGTAAACGATGACCGTGGGAGGCCGCGACAACAATTTCATAGGAACGTAAATAGTGCGAACGCCAATGACTCATCGTGACGTTGCGTAATCGGACCCATTGTTCTGTCCGGTCGATAGGTTGTTAAGTTTTAAAACCGTAGATGTTAAAAACTACATAGATAAACCAACGGCTATACGATAGTGCCTATATGGAACGATCAACAATGATTGAAAAACTTGACAATTCTGTGTTACAGGATTTTAAATAGCGTCGCCAACCGTCCTCTATTTCAGAGGACAGTCCTCTTGTTGATCATACCCCTTTTTTCTCAAGTATTGAAAACTACTATTTTTACACACCAAACTCTACTCCCATTCTTTCTTTGCGTTAAAGCACTTCCAGCTCTTTACAAAGTCCCCGAAGTCGTTGATGTTGGCTTCCTGCTGCTTCCTCTAGTCCCTCCAAAAAACCTAAAGCCAAAAGTTTTAATGCGTCGGTATTCTAGTACCGGACAGCGGCACAGCAGATGCTCTATGGTTTCTTCTTCCTCTCCATATTCTCTGCAGTAGGTGTCGTTGGAAATCTTCAATCTCACGAGATTTACTCCGTGGGGGAGTTTCCAGTGACGACACCTACAATTACGCCAACTAGACTCCAAATTATGTTAATGACAACACTTATCAATTATGCGTACTAGATTCTTTTTGTGCTCTAGTAGTTGTTTTGCCTTTTTTCTATCTACCACTGGCCACAGTCTTCGAGCTGTAGCGCAGTCCTCACGGTGTTGCCTCGTCTCTTCTTGTTGCCTCTATAGCTTCCTTCAGTGTGTTAATCGTCACAAGTGGTGGGTCATCTGCCACGGCCTCTTCCCTGGACCCTCTTTGGCGAGTCTGTCCGCTTCTTTGTTCCCAACCACATTGCTGTGGTCTGGCACCCAGCACAGAGTGGCCTCGTCTTGACGAAGCCAGGACAGTGCTTCTCGGCAATCCATCACAATTTTCTATCTAACTGATCGCATGGTGATGCTTCTTAAAGGTTGATTCTCACTATTCCTAGCTGATGTGGAAGGTATAGTGAGAATCAACCTTAAAGCGCCCAAGCTGTCAGAGTAGGTATATCACGATATCTCCTATTGATCTATCAGCTTAAAGATCGTCAGATTCTAGTTTTTCTGAGAAGATGCCTATACCAGTGCCTCCTGAAGTCACGGAAGCACCTGTGTAGACTGCTGTCTCTTGAGTGTTCCTTACTAGATTGCTTTCCCATTCTTCTCTTGTTGGGATGCAAATCCTTATATTTTCTCTAAAATCATGTTTGGTGAGCATATAGTCCACTAATAGATTTATTAATTATTGCTTACTTTTTATTGTAATTGTTCATGTTTATTAATAGCATAACTCTTTAAGGGTGGTAATATTAACTATAAAACGAAAGACATACTAACTACAGAAGAATCTATTAATATGATTAGAGTTAATCAATCAAACAAAAACTATTGATAATCCAAGATACGGACAAGAATGAACCGAATTTACTTATCCACATCGATTATATGATCTAAGTTTAAAATGAAAAAAAAATCGTGTAACGAACTCAATTTTACTCGTTTTGGAAGTCTGCGTTCAGGTAAAAAAAAGCGTAAGTAAACGCGTGGTTGTCGAGTGACCGTGGACTTAAATGACTGGTTTAAGTGGATTTTTAAACAGTTCCTGAAAGTAAGAAATAAAACAAAAGAATTATTACGTTGAAAACTATACAAACAAGTTTCAGTGAAAAGCTGGCTAAATAAATACTCCATATACATATTATAATTTTATTTTTTTACTTTTAATTGAAGCTATTAGTGCAAAAAGGTGTTAACTAACAATTTCAACAAAATTTTGAAAAAATGAGGTTTTTTGTTTCATGTTTGGAGCGTCAACATCGATCGTTTTACTCAGGAGACCGAGTTCTTTCAAAACCTGAAATAAAAAATGCAGGTCCGCATTTAAAAAAAATTAAGTTGGCCTCTGTATCTCACAAATTATCAGCTAATTTAAAAATCTAAAAATACTATCAGATATTCTATTAAAATAGTATATTATATATTATGAGGATGTGCAATTATTTTTTTGATTCTCTAAAAAATAACGACAGGAAAAAATAAAAACGATTTTCAAAAGGCTGTACTTAAACTACCGTTAAACGGTAGCTTACTAAAATGCCGTTAATAGGTATGACGTCGTTGATGTGACGCACTTGAGGGCTTTTTATGAAATATAGGAATTTTATAAGGACTAACCAACGCTATCCACCCCACCAAATAACCAACTTAACCAACGCAACTAACCTCGACACAACACAGGAGGAGTTCTCTCTCCTCTTCTGTGGACCCTGTTAGCGGACGACCTGATGGCAATCATCGATGCATACGAGGTTGAAGCACAGGCATATGCGGACGACCTGGTGATCCTAGTAAAAGGACACAAAGAGGAGGACATCTCCTCAAAAATACAGGAAATCCTAGATGCAATTTACGGCTGGTGCACACTGGAACAATTAAGTGTAAACCCACAGAAAACCGTGATCATACCATTCACCAGAAGAAGGAAAACAGACAAACTGAAACCGCCCATTCTTCTTGGTGAGACAATTCCGTTTGCGGAGGAAGTTAAGTATCTGGGATTAAACCTGGACAAAAACTTAGCTGGACCTCTCATCTGGAAAAACATCAAAAAGGCTTGCTATGCTCTATGGGCATGCCGCCGAATTTGTGGTAGAAACTGGGGATTAAACTCCAAAAATATGTACTGGCTATACGTGACGGCCATCAGACCTATTATCACGTATGGTGCAGTTGCCTGGTGGCAGAAAGCCAACCAAATAACGGCAAAGAATAAATTGTCGAAACTACAACGACAAGCATGCTTAGCGGTGACTGGTGCCTTGCATTCCACGCCGTCAAAAGCTATGGAAACCCTACTCGATCTACCTCCTCTGCAAATTCTTTTGGAAAGAGAGGCGAGATGGGCTACATATAGGTTTCTAAATATAGCACGAGGAAGCCAAGGAACAATTATGTTCATACAAAACCGGCTAGTAGAAGAACTACAGTCGGATGAGATTATGGAAATGATCTCGGATCTTACACCACCAGTCCAACTCTTGACGCGCACCTACAACGTCCTGTTTCCGAACAGAGGCGAGTGGGATAAGCCGGGAAACGGCTTATTACATGCGGAAATGTGTTGGTACACGGACGGATCCAAAAACGAAAAAGGATCTGGCGCAGGAATTTACTGCAGCAGTCCAAAGACTGAGATCTACCACAGTCTTGAAAAACACACCACGATCTTCCAAGCTGAGCTATATGCTATTGAAACCTGTGTGCAACTGCTGGTAGAACAGCAATACACCGGGAAAACAATATGCATATTTTCGGATAGTCAAGCTGCGCTGAAAGCACTTGAGGCAACGAAAAGCACGTCTATGACGATTCTTCATTGTAAGAAACTACTCAATATACTGGGAGATAGGAACAAAGTGTCGCTAATATGGATACCGGGACATGTCGGCCTAGAGGGAAATGAACGTGCTGATTCCCTCGCCAAAATTGGTGCAGGCTCGCCATTCGTGGGCCCAGAACCGACACTTAGCGTTCCCAAAAATCTCGCAAGAGACAGGCTCTGTGAATGGGTTAGGGGTGAGACATTCCGAGACTGGAATGACAGTCCCGGAATGGAGCATGCCAAGAAAATCCTAGCAGGGCCATCCAAACATAGAACAGGAGAACTCCTAAAGGCCGGTAGGAATGGAACGCGTGTGCTCACTGCAGTGTACACGGGCCACTGCCGGCTGAGATCTCACCTGCAGAGGACGGGACTGGTGGAAGACGCCGAATGCCGACTCTGTATGGAAGATGATGAAACAATGAAGCACGTTATGTGTACCTGCCCCGCTGAGAGCAGGACCAGGTTTGAGATGTTTGCCAAACCCATGCTAGACCTATCAGACCTAGGAGACATATCGCCCTCAGACATAACGGCCTATATTAAGAGGCTGGGTCTTGAGGATGAACTTTGACGCTCTTGTAAATTAGAGCTTGTAGAAACTGAGCCACAATAGGCCCTCGCGGCCTCAGTGGAGGGTCCCCCTTGGGACCCACTCTTAGTCAAATACAATACAACCTCGACACTGATAAAAAAATATAAAAAAGAAATATATTTTTTTAAAAACCAACCAACCCCACCAAATAACCAACTAACCAATGAATTAACACCCTCCAAATAACCACGCTAACCAACCCGCCAAGTAACTAAACCAATCCAACACTGAAAAAAAGAATCTCTCAGTCGAAATGAATATGACTTTGACCCAAAAGATTGGCGCTTTTCAATAGGGCCAGAACGACGTTTCTTTGCCCAAAGCATTAACTCTCTTTTCTTAAGCTTTAAAAAATTACTTTAGAGAATAGAAGAATCTATCTGTCCAAAGTATTTCACTCTTGACCCAAAATTAATATGCAAAGAAGTTCTTGCTACAAGAACAATAGTCTGTTTGATTCATGCAAACATTCTTGATTGAAAAGGGACATTTCTTGATTAAAGATACACTTTTCTTAAACCAAGAGCGAATACCATTGACTCAACTAAAATTTATTTTGATCTAAGAGAAGTCTATACATCATATACAGGCATACAGGCATATTACGAGGTATATTATGTTCTGATAAATTTAGGTTTTCCTAGTCTGTAGTAAGTAAAGTGATATTATTTTCCTTGATAGTAGGTAGTTATTTCTGCTTCTTCACTCCTTGGTATTTTTTGGGGTGGTTCATCACTCTACAAATTACAAAAAATGTTACATCACGATTAATCAAAGTAAAGCAAACAAATTATTAAAATTATAAGCTTTAGTCACATTTTGAATTTTTTAATACGACGACTTGAAATTCTAAAATGTTTGTAATTGTTTGCATAAAAAAATCGAAACTTATATTCTTATTCTATCTATAGTCAGGCATGCATTATCTAAACAGGTGTATTAGGTAAATGTCTCTTACCTTCAAATAAAGCAAATAAATGCTCTAATTTCCATTTTTTCAGAAACTCCTTTAAAGAATCCATATATCCTAAAATTTGTCCATAAAAAATGACAAATACATGTTAATAACAATCACTAATTTGTTATATGATATGCGTTTAAAAAGCAAATTATGCAAAATTCCAAGTGGAAAATTCCAAGCAACAAAACCGGTGCGTAATATGATGAGGTCGCACATCAAATGCGACGTGAGACATATCGGACTGCCGACTGATTGTATACACCATCCTTCGTCATCGCCTTTGCGTGTTGTTATTATTTTTCATCAAAAGAGTATTTAGCTATTGGAAAAATAACCATGTTTCTTGAATGAAATACTTCCTAGTGTATTTTTGTTATTATCTTAAAACAAAGTAACTTGCACTTGGTTGAATGAAAATAGATCAAGAGAAATTTTCGAATTTTTCAAGAGAACAAGTTTTCTTGAGTTAAGAGAGTTTTTCTTCAGGGAACATATTTTCGTTTACGCTAAAATAAATTATCTTGCCACTAATTTTTTTTTCAAGAACGATGACGACTTTAGTTCAAGTCTATCTTTTTTATCAGTGAACCAAAAAGAGTGAAACCAATGCAATAAGATCACGCTATAAGCAAAAAAAATATACAAACGTATTGGTCGGCGTGAGATTTGAACCACGAACCATTCGCTCACGAAGCGATAGCCTCAGCCACCGAGCCACAGGTGCTCTTGCAAAATGCTTATAGCTAGGCATTACTTTCCGCCGACATGAACGACGTCACAATATCTATTAACGCCATTTTAGTAGGCTACCGTTTAACGGCTGTTTAAGTACATCGTTTTCAAAAAGATCTGTTTTTTTCCAAAAAACTCAGCAATCCTTGAAATTTATAAACCTTTTTTATTGGAATCTTGGTGAACATCCCAAAGCGCAACTTAGCCCCAATTTAACCATGTTCGTATCTATTACGGTTACCGAGATACCAATGTTCGTACCTCAAATTTGTAGCTCCCTGTATAGAATTCCCGACCCCGACTCATTATTTCGTTTGTCCTTTTAAGTTATTTTTAGAATAACAAAATGAGTTTAACTAAACACACAGAGCCTAATATTTTGTTTTCACACAGTTCGGAATAAAGTGCAGAACAAATATACGCGACCGCAATATCATTGGTGATCCAATTTACCTAACAAAAACAAATTTAGCTTTACACATCCGCAATTTTGTTGTAATCGATCGCATTCTCTCAATACCTCTTCAAATACCAAATAAAACTTCAGCTTTTCAGTGTGTTGTCATCATTAGTCGATCGGAATATACAAGGAAGTTAATGGTTTTGTAAATATGAAAAATTAAACTGTTTTGTACTCTTTAAAAATCTTGTTTTCAAATATTTATAATTATAAAAAAATAGGATTCAAAACATTCTTCTAAAATACTACGTTTCGTTATATACGAAATTATAGATCTTCTCTGTGATCCTGAATCTGTGAAAACTAACAGCCCGTTCATTCGTAATCGAATCGAAAGGTGTGTTCACACAAAAACAGTAATGTCACAGTGTTGGAGATGCTGACCAGTACCATGGTTATAAACAGCATAATGACCAGGAAACTAGAATACTTTGGACATCCTATGAAATCTCCCTCTTTTCAGTCCTTCACCCTAAGTGAGAGTATACATCATGTGTTGATTCCCCTCACTTCCTCGGACCAAGTTGTTCGACACGCCATATGTGAAGCTTCGGGGAGGTTATGGCCCACTAGGGTTTAGACTTGGTCTACCCACCTCTTATCGTCTTCCCTCTACCTTCCCTCCACCATCAGTCTCTCAATTGAGGTGCCACTCATGGCAATAAAGCCAAAATATCGGACGATTGAGTGATTTAATTTGGTAACCAGACGTGTCTCAATTTTTTAGTTCCTCAATAATGGAAATGTTTGTTCGATGAGCCGTCTATGGTATTGACAGCACCCGTCGATATACCCATATCTCCAAGGCGTTTATTCTTTGCTTATCACTTTCCTTTAGTGTCCATATTTCAAAGCCATACATAGCTATGTAAGCCGTAAATAATATAAAAGTGTCATTGATGGTAGCCAACGTTCTTCGTGGACGAGACACATAAAAAAGAAGAATGATATAGGACTATACACTGTTCAAAACGTCTATCATCTATTTGCACTGATTTAACTTTATATCAGTTTTGTCAAAATGTGTTTCTAAAGGTGTGTCCAGCCCTGATGAGACAAGTGCGGGACGAACGCGAGACATACCTACCAAATGTGCGTGTTGAGGGGTCTCGCGAGACAACCCACGGAGCCTCGTTGCTATCTGTCCCCTGTCGGTTTTGCAACGGCCGATCAAAGAAAGCTCGCGCAACAGTCTGGAGTCTGGACATGCTTTTGGTAGGCCCGCTCGACTGCGAGATATTAGCTCTGATTTATGAATTTCGACTATTTAAAATTAAATAATCTCAAATTTTTAAATGGTACACCGTATGTATTATCATTTTTTCTGACAGAATTTACAAATTTTTCGTCACTGATAATTTACTTATGATTTTTTTTACCGTACCGAAATCTAACATTTCTTTAAACAAATTGAATTACTACAAAATCTATTAATTTTAGATAATATATCATATGCAAAAAAGTTACCAAATTGTACGTAGAATCTAATAATAAAATAAAAATATGGTATTCCCATTAAAAAATATATGTTATATCCGCAACACTTTTTTGAAGTACCCTGTATAGAGTAATTTTAAAATGTGCTTCTTAACCTTCCCTATAAATTTTCTATTTAACATTTTGTTCTAAAGAACGTTAACAAACGTATTTTGTAAAAGACGTCGTGTCTCGAAACAAATCAAGGGTTAAAGGGGAAAACAAACAAAAAGGTAAAAAACCGACGATGAATAAAATACAACGAACCAAATACCATATTAAAGGTACAAAAATGTACTATTGTATGCGTTATTATTTGGCCATCGTTTGTTATATTCAATTACAATTTAATATGTGTTTGGGTTCCTTTCACTATGATCCAACTCGCTTGTCTCGTGGCAGGCTTGCCCCAAAAAATGGATAGATGTCTCGCTCTCGTCTCGTCAAGGCTGGACGCACCTTAATATTCCTAATTCTTCAACATTTTCGATTTTTGTGTTTATTTCACTGTCGATGTC